TTTGCGAAGGAAAATACTTATCGGCGAAGAAAGAAACTAACTACCCGGAAGAACACTGAAAAAAAATCCATGAAAACATCCGATCCGCGAATTTGCAACTACTTTTTGCACGCATTTGTACTGCAGAACAAGAGCATCAACTGAAGAAAAGGAGCTTAGAATAGAAATATCTGTCACTCAGGCTTTACCTCAAAAACTGAGACTCACATCTTTCTACAACCTATTTCACATGAATCTCTGCCCTCACTAAATATTCGCCGTTAGTATGATAACTGTAAAGAAAAACAGAAATTTCTACTTAAATTTTTAGTGAAAATTTACTAAATTTTTAGTGAAAACGAGTGAAAACCGTTCTGGATCAATTGAATGCAGAAATCAATTTAGGCACTTCGCATGAACAGTGAATTACTCCAAGTGCTTATTTAGACGACACTGCGCTTATCATTGAAAATCCATAGGTATGACAAGTGTGGATAAAAAGGTTTCAAATCTACAAATGGAGAACCGAATGGATGAAGAAAACGGTAACTCCGATTCGAAATTTGACTCAAGAATCACTCTATTGAGCTTGTGGACAGCTCCAATCACTTGGGACCAAAAAATGAATGAAGAATTAAGGCTGGGGCGATGTAACAGAAAAGGAGACGAAAGGATAGCTTAGCAAAATACAGTTCCCTTTTCCTACAAAAAATTTTTTAAATGGTATTATTTCAAAAATCCGCCGAAGTTATGCATAAGTTTAAATATAAAGTTAATATTAAAATGAAAATAATAAAATGAGCAAGAATGTTTTGATCCACTAAGTAGCATATATCCTGTTTAGAGCCGATATTAAAATTTATAGTAACATATTTTCGAAAATGAAAGCAACGATTTTCGATTTTTTTACATTATCAGGTTTGTTGTGTTCCTTGGAAGTGAAATATGGAATACCATGATACTCAGGTGAAGAAGTTAGTGGAAATCCAATGGAGGCCAAAGAATTTACTAGTAAGCTGCTACATATTTTTAGTGAAATTTTGCGGTTTCAGTTTGATGTAACAATATTATCAAGACAAAAAGTTGCGCAGGTCATGTGATAAGAATAAGAGACAACAGGTATGAAATGTTGAAAGAACACAGGGAATGCGCCAGCAGTACGATGAAAATGATCTCCTTGAATGCTTAGTTTGGATAAGTGAGGCTCAAAAGTTGCTAGATGCATCAATGGCGAAAAAAAAACGCAGTGATGAAAAATCAGCTGATTACAATCATTATCATTCAAACAAGACAATGGAATACTTTAGTTCCTTCTAAACACAGTCGTACATTTTGTGTCCAACGATTTGAGCAAAAATAATAAAAACGACAAAAAAAAAACCTTTTCATCAAGATCTAGGATAAATAATTCATTTCGAGTTGTAAGCATAACAAAAGACGTTTCATTCATGTTGCTGTGCAATCGAACTATTTCTCCTGCGTTTTCTGAAATGCAGATTGTAGAGCCGATTTACGACAGCACGTTTATAGAAATTTATTCCAACTGTGAAAATGGGCTTTTACCACAAAACATGCCTACGACAGTATATATTTGGGGCTGATAAATATTTGAGGGAATTTCTGAGACTGAAAAATTTACAAGGGAATATCTGAGGAAACAAAATTTTTGGCGATTTTATCCTGAAACCAGAAAAAATGCCTTTCAGTGACTTCTTATCATTTTCCCTCATCCAGTTCAAGCATAAACTCTATACTAATCAGCACATCAGCAATGAAGTCATACTATTCCTGATCAACCACTTCTCTCCCTCCCCCTTCTCTCCCCGCTCCCTTTCCTCGGCCCCTCTTGTCCTCAGGCTGGGCTATCGTTGGCACTATTTGTTTACTGCTAAAGATTTCCATGCATGAGATTGCATGCATAGCAAAGTCGTTATGGCATAAGAAAACCACTCGAAATACTTGAAACAGCTCCTGGTTCATAGTTCTGGTTCCCCAACTATACAGCTTAGAACTGCTTTGACCAATGCCGCATCGCCTGATGGTCAGTTTGCCCGTAACAGCACCGGGATTAAAATCCTACTATACATAATCTAAAATCCTATTATATATCCTACTATATAATACTGCACTGAAGTAATGAAATTCTCAAAATAAATCAGATTGCGCAAGAAAGCACAAACGAAAACAGTACCTCTTTCGGTGATTACTTCTGGATTCTCTTCAATCGTGTGATCATCAAATCGTAAAACACATATTTTAAAGCTCCCGGTCGCAATAAATAACGACGATGATGTGAACAACAGCTGAGTACCACAGATGTTCAGCTTCCTCATTAGTGATATGGACGGCACTGTAGAATCGAAATTCAGCTTGTATATGGTTGTTGTCCGACTGGTCGACATAGCCAGCCAATTACCTTTTCGGCTTAGGGCACTGCAAAAAGAAGCACGAGTATAACTTACAAACAAGTTAAACAAGTATCAACGAGAGCAGGAATTTCATTCCATTCCCATCGGATAAAGAATTTTTGCACCTATAACTATCGTAAAAACTGGACTAACGGTTAGCAAAACTGACCACCCAACAATGCAATTCAGGCCACAAAAAAATGCATTCAGAGTTCTCAATGAGGGGAAACAAGAGAAGCAGAAAAGGTAGAGAATGAGATGGGACTTAAATTTAAGTACAGAATTAAGGTTTTTCAGTCCATTTAGACGTGAACGCTTTAGCTCAGTGCCGCAACTGGACCTTGTCAGTACAACGGTTTTAACACAAATTTGGGAGCCAGGGGAAAATAAAAAGTGGCGCGCACCAGGGCAGCCGGTGCGATCATGCGTTTTGCGCAGTTCCAACCAGCGAACGTTTGTCTACCAAGGATTTTCACTGCGAAATGTTGCCTGGTCTCCTAAGTTGTGAAATTTCCAACTAAAAAGTTCACATGCCGGTACGTGAAAGCTGAATTTGAAACCCCGGACGAGTAACATCCTCCCAAATTTCAACCTCCCAGCTGTATCGGTAGTACAAAGGTAAATATTTCTGCAGTACTTACCTTGATATGATGAAATCTCCGCGACTTGATCGAACCTGAGCAAGCTTCACTGGGCCACATTTTAAGGAATAAATGCCTTTCCTCGGCGAGGCAATATCTTCAGCTGCTATTCCAGTTCTCCAAATAACAATACGATTTGTGTACTGATATGAGAAAAGATCGGCATCCGGTGCAACATTACATACAATCTGCAAACATTTTCCAATGTTCCTAATCAGTTTGGAAGAAAAAATTAACCAAAGAGGTTTGGTTTATGTACTTTTCGCGAATGCTGCAGTAACAATGCTAATTTGAATCCGGTGCCTGAATTACCAGCAAGCTGAATATCGAATGCTGATAACAACGTGCACTGCTGCTGTGACTTTACGGAACCAAAAAAAAAAATGTATGCAAACAGAATACAATGGCATTTACATTCCTAATATAGAAAACTTTTATAAATTTCAACAAAAAATAAAATAAATCGCGCGGTAATTTTAAGAACAGGACCCACAATAGTAGTTTTTTTTTCGCAGATTTTTGGCATCCAAAAAACTTGTCCGTTCCTGGAGAAATCGGATTCTCAGACAAATATGTTTACAAATTTGATCTTAATGAGGCTAAAAAAAAAGGGGGAAAAGAGGGACGAGGAGAGTGCGAAGTCGTTATGGTGCAAAACGATTTTTGAATAATTCACAAAAATCCAAACAGCAGCTCAAACAGCGACATAACTTACATTTTTCAAGCCATTGCTGTGTTTTAAGCGACTGCTACTGCAAAAATAATAATCAGCGCCACCGGAATACAAAACTGGCCTATGTTTCGATGCAACTAAAGCACGAACATCGTTCCCATGAACCGTCCTTCGATGCTCCACCCGATAAGCAGTACGGTCCTGCAATAATCAAATTCTTAGGATCAAACAACTACAATCTTCAACTCACCAGAGATATCTGAGCAAGAAACCTTAAAACGATACGAATAAGAAAGTCACCGAAAAAATGAAACTGTTTTTTTCTGTTCAAACGCAAATTTTTCAAACCTGATTGGGAGCAAGTCGAGCTATTGTTGGATCAACACCGGCAGCATAGAGTGTCTCGTCGGCTACAGCCATCGATAGGACATCAGCCTGGTGCGTTTGCAAGCACTAAATTTGTGCAAATATTTCATAAACAAACAGTCTTTCTAAAACTGAGAAAGAATACAAAGAAAATCCCCCAGCTATCAGTATGAGTTCCCATATAAGTGATGTTAATTTCACATGCCAGAAGGAGCTGTTCCAGGCACTTCATCGTTGAAGCTGCGCACTTTTAATTAGTTTCCATCGCTGGTTCTATGTATGTGCACCACAAGCACTTACGGTTTCCACCTCAGCAAAG